CCCCCACCCCCTCCCCCCCCCCCCCCCCTCCTCCCCTTCCTCCCCCACCCCCTCCTCCCCCCCCACCCCCTCCCCCTCCCCCCCACTGAGAATTGAACCAGGAATTCACACATGCTAGGCAAGCACTTTATCACTGAGCTGAATCCTAGCCAGAGATATCTATATATTTTTTGGTTCAGGCAGTTTTTGTATGTTTGACATGTACATACACTAATGTCATCATCTTAACCTTGATCTGCTTCCTTTTTTCTCCCACTAACTAGCATTTGAATTACATGCTGTTGAGAGGATCTTGATTTAAGCACATCAAGAGTTGCAAGTAGGATTGGGGTTGTGGCTCAGTGGTAGAGCACTTGCCTAGCATGTGTGAGGCACTGGGTTCAAGTCTCAGCACCACCTATAAGTAAATGAATAAACAGAGGCCCATTAACATCTAAAAGATATTAAAAAAAAAACAGAAAAAGAGTTATAAATAACAAGATTTATTTTATTGTGGTAAAATACACACAACATAAATCCTACCACCTAAGCATGTTCAGTTCAGCAATGTTAAGTGTATGTACACTGCTATGCCATCAGTCTCCAGAACTTCTTCATCTCACAAAACAGAAACCATCTACCCACTGAACAATTCCCCATTCCTTCCTCCCCAAAGCCTCTGGAAACCACTATTCATTCTATTTCTCTTTCCATGAACTTGAATACTTTTAAATATCCAACTTAAGTGGAATCATAGAGTATTTTTGTTTGTGTGTGACTTATTTCAGATAGCATGACCTAAAGGTTTATCAAGTTGGTAGCTTGTGAAGGAATTTCCTTTCTTTTCAAGGCTGAGTAATAGTCCATGGTTTATAGGTGTCACACTTTGCTTATCCACGCATCCATCAGTCATGATTTGGGTTGCTTCCACCCCTTGACTATTATGAATAATGCTACCATGAACATGGAAATGCATTTATCTCTTCAAGACTTTACTTTCAATATTTTTTGGAACATATACCCAGATGTGGAATTCCTGGATCATGTAAGATTTTATTTTCAATTTTTTGAGGCACCTCCATCTTGTTTTCTATAGCAGTAGCACTATTTTACATTCCCACACACAGTGCACAAAGTTTCCAATCTCTTCTCATCCTCTGCAACACGTATCTGCTCATTTTATGGATTTTTTTTAAATGGCAGTCATCCTCATAGGTGTGAGGTACTGATCTGTTCTTTATATTTGCAGCAAACTGGCTAAGGATGAAACCTTTCCTCATTTAATAGGAATAGAGAATCCAAATGGAACTCTCTGGTAGGGAGACACAATCCAGTGGCTTCCATCGCTGTCTTGGTCAGATTCAAATTTCCTACAAGGACCACATAAGGCTCCATGATACTTGATCCTCTCTGCCCTAGCACAGTGATAATTTTATGTAATAGCCTTAATTATTTTATACATAAAGCAGAGTTTTATGATGTGGCATTTTTTTACTCATGGTGTCACTGTGGTACTCAAAAAGTTTCAGATTTTGGAACCTATCAGATTTCAGATTTTCTGAGTAAAAGTGTTAATTATGGTGAGAAGAGCACCTCTTGAATCTGGCAAGAACCAGGCAAAACTGTTCTAGCTCCCAAACTCTGCTTCTCCTAGCTCCAAAGCCCTACACTGCTCTCTACTAATAGTCTCTCCATTGTTTCCAAAGAAGCATGGAATGTAAGAACCAGCAGAGGCCCTGGAGTTTACCCATAATACTTCAGTCCTCCTTTTTGGTTAGAGTAGAAAACCAAAGTTCAGAAAAGAGAATTGTTAAGCTTAGAAATCCAGTTTGGCTTTAGTGTGTTATAATTATAATAAAAGATTATACTAACTTTAGGCACTAATAAGTGACTTTTAGTTGACCTCAATGTATTTGACTATCACTTTGTGAATGGTCTTGTGCAGGCTTATAAGTGTCAAGATAAAACAGTGAACCTTACAATTCCAGCCTATGTTTAATCCCATCATTGACTTGACTGTATCTAGTGACAGGAGTCTATGCAATCAGGTAAGATGACAGTTCAAGACTTGCCAATAATTGTGTCATTATTAGGAAACCTGACTGTGGATGTGTCAACCCAGAAGTTGAGGGTTGAATGAAGAAGAAAAACTTAGTCAGGAACATGGAATCAAGAGTCTGGAGTCATAGTTGACCTTAAACATAACCTAATCCCTATTTCCTGACAAAAATAGGGGAATTAGACACATGGATTTTGGAACAAAGAAATGGATCAAAGTTGACAAAGAAAGGAAGACAATGAAGATAAGAAAATGGAACTAGGTCAACAAGTAACATGTCCATGAGGCAATGAGAGGCAATCCTTTCAGTTCAGTCCTGGAGAAATACATTTGTGCATAATGGCTGCAGCTTAGAAAATGTATCAGCCTAGAGAAGTTGCATCTTTTCTCTCCTGGTGCCCTTTCTCATCTCCTCACCCAGAAATAATTGCTCTCTTATTGTTTTCCTCTAATGTACCTCTTACCCTTAAATCAAATCCTGCTCTTTGAAAACTAACCAGTGTCCATGTTGAATGTCTTAACATAGGTGGAACAATAAGGGCTTAATATCACCTCTCACACTACGATTGGTAATGTCTGTCAAGCATCCTGTGTAGAGAGTTCTGAGGCACATCACAGGCTGAGGGGGGGATAACAAATAAAGCTGTCAGTCGCAGGTAAGGGATGGCCAATTACTGTTCTCAATCACAGGCAAAGGAAGGAAACTTGATGGGGTGCTGGGCCAGGTATTTAATGTATGTGGCAGAGTGAACATATTTAAGTTCATTATTACTTGCCTCAAGACTATTGGCAACTTTAATCTTACTTCTAATTTGCATAACAAGTTTTGTCTTCTGGAAGAGAATTTTAGATATCAACAACAAGTGAGAAAGATATTCCATGGATTCAGTATCTTCTATGATCATATCACTAAGCAAAAAAGGGCTTTCCAAAAGATCTCTAAACATCCTTACACGCTTTTGAACACATCTTATTTAACTCTCAGACAAAGCCTCAAGAATCTTCTTTATGTCAGAAATCAAGCTTTTAACTAACTCCCATGCAGTCAGTAAATAAAGCTGGACTTTCACCTAGGCTCTGGCAATTTCTGGAGCTCAGGATATCCTCACTACACCAATAAATAAGTTTCTCTTTTGTCTTTTCTTAAAGCAAAGAAATGAGGGGCAAGGAAAGGGAAGATTCTATAGAAAAAGGAAAGAAGACGCCTGCCTAAGAAATTGAGGGTGCGAAGGATACATTCAAATCCCAAGACTCATGAAATTTCAAATCCACTTAGGAACTCAGAAAAGGTGAACATAATCCACTGCTGTTATTTATATGATGAGAAAAATAAGTCATCAGACCCGGGAGTAATTAATCAATGAAGACTTCCTGGAAGGAATCATTTTAGATTAGGGTTTTGAAAGATGCATAAGGTGGAGGAGAAGACTCTGAAAATAAGAAAATGAGAATGTCATTTCATTAGTTCTAGCTTTTCGGATGGACCACATAGGCAAATGTGTTTAAATGTGAGAAGCTATATTAAAAAAATCATCTTTTATTTCTTGAGAAAATTCTATTATGTTCTATTTCAATGACCAAAACTCCAGGGGGCCTGCCAAGGTTATTAAAAAGAAATTGGTCATTAAATTGAATCTATCTAGTAGACGACTTTTAAAAGCCAGCTGTCAAAAAAAAAAAAAAAAAAGCTTCACTGAAATATAAGAGGTCATCATCAAGTTTTCACAGAGGAATTATGTGACTAATCTGGCATGATCTCTTTTCTGTCTTGTCTTCTTGGTTTGACCCCAGTGGAGTCAAAAACAGATTGGTGAAGTGAGAGTATGAAAGAATACATGTGGTTAGTGTACTGACATAATCTGTGCCAGATGCTTTCTTTTCCTGTGTCATAGGTGTGGCCTTAGTGACCAGCTAGGGAAAGTAGGAAGGAAAGTTGGGGCGGTGGTACAGCCCAGTAACCTTCCAAGGTTTTAAATCTCGATTTCAATATCTAGGCAAAGCATCACCCGCTGATCCACCATGGGGGAAAAAGTTCTGAGAGGATGATCCGTGGCCTGTCCTTGATGCCTGAGGTGGCATCAAATACACCATGGGAGTAAAAATAAGCTCATTTCATAGTTTAGAGAAGTATTCTAACCAGAATTACAGAACTGAGATTGCCTTGGACGGCTGGGAAAGGCCTCTCCCCCTACCATGTGGTTATTGTAGGCATCAATCTCAAGTTGACTAGTCAAAATGTCTCATCCTCTTGGATCCAGAGAGATGGACACAGTCTCATCAGGGGCCTCTGCAGAGACTGATATCAACTGAATGACATGCTGGGGAGAAAAGGTTCTCTGTTTTCTCTTTATCTTGAAGGATGGCACAAGCTAGGGATATCTAGTGATTATCTTTGATATCACATGGAGGAATTCTGACGGAAATCAACATAATTAGCTGTCTGTAGAACTAAGAGATGTCAGAGAAAACAAAGTCCTAATGTTATAATTCGAACCCCTGGATCCAGCTCACCTGAAATCAGTTCACCTATTAGTCTTCCTGTTTATTGAAACCTACAATTTCCCTTTAACACTTTGGCTAGTTTTCATCTCTATCATTTACATCCAAAAGACTCCTTGCTAATGTAGAGGGAAGAGCCTGGGAGAAATCAAGCAAGGTGCCTGTTCTAGAATTTGTTTATGTGTACCATAGATAAGGAGCTGGATATTTTCACCGAGGCTTTTAGAGAGCATCCCTCATGGACATTCCCTTGGTACCAGCTTCTTCTCTCTCATTTTTATTAGCCTTCTCCTCTAACCCCCATCCCCACCAAACACCTTTTCTCTTAGAATCTACCCTTTTCTCGAAAGAAATAGTCAAATTTCAGACCCCTTGAGTTTTTTTCTTGTATAAGTAACATTTACATCCTCAGACTTCACAGGGTATCAGCAGATTTACTCACATATTCAGAATTTCTGCTCTCAGCTATGACTAAAAGGCTCTGGTGTTGGGGTCTGTTGGCTCCTGCACGAAAAGAGGCACTTTAAGCTTCTATCCAGAGGACAGGGGAAGGGAGCGGTAAGACAGCAATATCTACTCTGGGCCTCGGGCACCTTCGTCTGTGTACCGGAACACAAGCCACAAAATCAAAGATGAGTTTAGTCATGAAAACACTTGCCTCGTCTAAATAAGGAATTTCATATTCCCCATTATCATAAATTTGACACCTGGAGAGCAGGAACTCTGGATCATTGTTTTAAAGAAAGCATTTATCCCTTCACTATTCTGAGTTATCTCCAAATTTAATGCACATAAATCCCTAAATTAATGGAGAATCAACTGCTCCAGTTCCAGTCATTTCTTCCCAATCACTTGTTTTCCAGATTTATGTCACTGAGGTGGGGGTCAAGGTGAGAAGTTGGGTTGGAAAGCAGGTCCAATTGTTCTACCATAGTGGTAGAAAGATATATGGGGGGATAGGGCTTGAAATCAAATTCCTTGCATGTATGATTTTGTCAAAATTAACCCAATGGCTACGTATAATTAACATGCTCTAAAAAAGATATATATGATCTCATTTAAGAGTGTGGGTATTGTGGTTTGGATTTGGAATGTCCCCCAAAGGCTAATGTGTTAAGGCTTAATCTTCAGTGCAGTAATTATCAGAGCAGGCTTTAGGGAAATGATGAGAGACATTGATGAGGGACCTGACCTCATCAATGGATGTATCCTGTGATGTGTTCATAATTGAATGAATTATTGGGAGGTGGTGGAAATTGTAGGAGGTAGGACATATTGGAAAAAGTCACTGAGGGTGTGCCTGGAAGGATATATCTGGTCCCCAGCCCCTTCCTCCCTCTGTCTCTCTTGCTTTGCTTCCTGACTACCACAGCGAGCACCTTCGCTCTACCACATTCTGCCTCACTAAAGGCCCAAGGCAGCAGGGCCAAGTGACCATGGACTGAAATCTCTGAAAGTTTAAGTGAAAATAAGTCTTTCCTCCTTCACGTTGATTTTCTTGGATATTTTGTTATAGTGAAGAAATGTTGGCTAACATAGTGAGGAATAAAATATTCAAGAAAACTTGAAATAACTTTTGACCGTAAACTGACCTGATGTAAAAAGTCAGAACTTAATTATGTATGTGCTTAGGAAGGTCTATAAACCTAGGAAAAAAGTTTCAGGATGAAGTCATATAATAAAAAGATATGGAGAAAGAAAGTGAATTGTTCCTAGGTATTTGTACTTAAATAATAATTGTGTATTAATTAACACTCACATAATTTTTGACTATAGTAGTTTCCTAAGTATTTTGGAAATATTAACTCATGTAATCCCCACAACAACTGTATGAGATGATTCACTAGAATGTGTCATGATTTTAATTTTTTTAGAGTTTATTTTATTGGTTCTTCTTAGTATATATCCCTCATTTTAATAATATTTTAGTATCAAAATAGCAATAATATTTTAAAAAATGAGAAAATAAGGCACAGACTATCAGCAAATATCTGTAAATGACATATCTGATAAAGGACCATTATCCACAAGCTACCAAGAATTCTTAAAACTCATCGATAAGAAAATTAACAACCCAACTGAAAAATGGGCAAAAGATCTGAATAGATACCTCACCGAAGTAGACAGATAGCTAAAAAGCACATAAAAAGATGTTCATCGTCATGTCATTGGAGGATTTCAAATTAAAACTAATAGCAATGATGACAGTTAACATTTTTCAAGTCCTTACTGTATTCCTATTTTATAAATAAACCTCATTTAGCTTTCACAACACACTAAAGTAGTTATGGTTATCGGATTAAGTTGTCTGTCAGATGTACTCAATTGAAGAATTTGCCCCTGAAAGGTTAATACTAAAATCCAAAGTCAAAGTATCATATTAGTTACCAGAAATGTGTTTTGAGATATGCATTAAAAAAGAATTAAAGCATTATTTTCCATATTAATTGCACCATATAAACTCAGTCAAAAATGAGTTTAATATATCTGGATAAACTCTTCCCATGGTCTTGGATCTTGCTTTACATTTGCTCTAATATGACTCAATGTAAGAAGTTACATGAATTGCTAAACTGAGTATGTTGAAAATTAAAAAGAAGCTGAAAATTATTATACATAGATCATAAATTGGAAAGAATGTACAGCACGTCTGAATTATGCATTGCAAAATAGGCAGTAAATTTTGGGCAGAATGGTTGCTAACAATTTCCAAATAACTAATAGCTAGCTGATGAGTGGTATCTATGATACCAAAACCCCATATTTCCCTCTTGGGAGAACAGCTGCAACGATACTTGATTTTGTGGCTAAAACAGGACTTGTGGATTTGCAAGTAATAACCTGGACCACCAAGCTGTATCCGATGCAGTTTGTAGTAATGCTTGCATACCTTTTGACATGAATTGTACATATTAACTATAATAGAGTAGAAATTCTAGTAATAGCTGTATGTAGCTGCTTTCTCTCTGACTTCTGTAGACCATAAGACAAGAATATAGACTAGTAGAATAATCAATTGAAAAAAATTGACCTCCAGGGACAAATTTTTCGATTGATCCCAATTATACAACTATTCATGGAAGAGAAAAACCAAGGCTTGGAGAGATTAAGTAACTTTTCAAAGCCCACAGTTAAGATTTCAGTGCCTATCTATCTGACAGCAAGCTTGTACTCTGAATTACTGCACTATAATCTATTAATATTTAGTTACTCTTAATAATTTACGGCTTCAATACAGTTTTAGTTTTACATCTTTGCGCAATTGAGTGAAAAAGCAAGCATATATCTAACACCTATACATACTTAACAAGGGTATTACCCAGGTATTACTATTCATTTGAAGGGAACTTATTCAAACTGGAAGTATAGGACACAGAAAAAATTAAAGGTTGATGATGTGGCTCAGTGGTAGAATACTTGCCTAGCACATGAGAAGTCTTGGGTTCAATCTCCAGTACCACCAAAGGGGGAGAGGGGACTTTTGAAAGTCCCCTTTGTAACAATTCAAACTAATAAAATTATAGGACAAAGTCTGGGTCAGTACTTGTCTTGGGGGCAGTTTTTATGATCTTAATTATCATGCTGTCAGTTTGATGGATGTTGATTGACTATCAGAAGTGGTCTTAGATGGCACATGCAATTGGATATTTTAAGAAGAGCTTAATAAAATTGGGATTTTCAAGTGGGGGACATTTACAGAGGTAATACAGAATTCTGAGCTAGTTACTGGAACCCAGAGAGGGTAGCTATATTGAGGAGTGAGGACGGCCCATAAGGAGCTGGGACCTTCAGTAGAGGGACATGGCTGACCAGTAGCTACTTGTAAGGCAGAGAACTAGAGGAAGAATTACCCTGACTTCCTTTCTGTGTCACACTATGATCTCCTGCCAGCACTTCCAATTGGCTACAGGCAATAGGAAGCCGGAGTATCAGGGATCCTGGTGATGCAGTTGGCATTGCAGCCTCCTAAAACACATACAATGAGGAGAAAGAATAAAGACATCTTACGGGAAAACAGACAATATGCATGAAATTAGCAATGACCCACATCAGCGCAGGTGCTTTGACACAGCTCCTGAATCTAGCACTGATTGGGAATACCAGCACCATCCTGAGCAGCCTGTGGGCCTGACTACTATAATCCTCTCAATCTCTATTCCCATCCTTTATATTCCCATCAACCTCCCACAGCTTTGGTCCTTTTCTGCTCTTCCTCCATCAGCTAGCACAACTGCGGAAGTACACAGAGCTGAAAGCTCCTCCCAGCTCAAAGTTTAGCTCTACATTTACACCTGGCCCTGATCTCTTGGGTGGCCCTGTTTAAGCCAACAACTTCCTCTTCTCCGGAAATTTCACAATCCTACCTGCTCAGTAGACATCTGCTACAAGGTAGGTTCACAATGGTTACAGACATAAACAAAGGCCAGAACCCCAGAATCTCCCCCCCTTCTGCAAAAAAAAAAGGTCAGAACTACTTTGTTCCTATTTCTTCGCTTGTGCAAAGAGCATGTGGTTATTGCATAAGCAACATGAAGAAATGCTGGAGCCTGAGTGTTTTTGTTCAGGGCACTGGGTGGGGCATGAAATATGTGGGCCCAGTTCACAATTTTCTTACTTCAGCCTTCCTTCTAAACCACTTGAGGCACTGATGGCCTAGTTTTCCTTTACTTGTACATGATTTTATATGGCTTACCTTAGCCAGGATGCTCCACGGTAATAATGCTGTGCTCAGTTCTGCTCTTCTAGGTAATGCTCTGTGCTCCGGTTCTTTGCTCTGGTCCCCATCAAAGTATACTTGTTCTGGGTCTCATTTTGCACCTTTAGTTGAAAACAAGAGGAAGAAACTAAAAGATGAAACAGATCAATTTTATTACTGTTTACTTGGTCACTGTGTGCTCTGAAGAACCCTAGGAAACTGCAAAGTTATTCCAGAATCTACCTTGATGAGAGGGAGAGCCAAGAGAAAAGGACAAGTAAGAGAGCTTGGGATCCCCTACTCACACTTGAACACCACACATCTTCTTTCATTGTTTTATATGAGACTTCACGTAAGATTTTAATTATAAAAGATGTAGCTCTGCTCTTTAAAAGAGAGAAAAAAATGGTTGCATACCACTGGTAAAAGCATTGGTCCTCACAGGATTCTTCTGTTTTGAAAGGGGGATTAGGAATGTGGGTGGGGATTACAAATCAACTGGGGAACAACAAAGCTTTCCAGGTAAGAGTGTGCACACTGGGTCTCAACTGCTGGGATCATATTCAAGTTCTGCCCTTTACCAAGCTTCCTACCAGAGCTTTAAAACCTCACACTCCCCAAGCTGGTGGTTCTTGGGTTGCAACTCTGAGGATCAGGGTCAGGCTTTTGAGCCAAAGGACCCCTATGCTGGGTTCCCACAATACTGTTTTTGAACACAAGTGTTGTCTAGTAAGACTGTCACATGCACAGAAGAGGAAGAAGACAGGAAAGAGAAAACAGGGCCCAGTAGGTGCTAAATATACTAGACGTGGTTTTAGTTTAGTTAGACAAAGTGATGGGGGTGGGATGGGGGAAGACTATTGCAAAACTTCAGCATCTCATTACTACAGTTTTCAGCTCCTATTTCCCATGTCTATCAGACATTTGCCTTGCATTTTCCTTAGATGGACCATAGCTCCATGCTATCTTACACTCTTAGTTTGCTGTAATGGAAGCTTAAAGAGAATGAGCCCATTTTCCACTCTTTTAATGAGCATTTGCTTCTTGTGCCATCATATTCCCTCATTGATCTCCCTTCATATGGTTCCAGATTACATGGCTGACAGAAACCCGAAAGACCTCAGAAAAACAGAAGGTGCACCCAAGTATCTCAAGTTTTCACTGCAGCAGTTTCTATATCCTCCTACCTCCCCTAAAAGTATAAGTATAAATGGAGTCTTAAGTTAATGACAAAATGAAGTGAGGAGAACACAGATTAAACACAAAAAAGAACATACTTGCTGAAGATGTGAGAGACACCGCAATAGAATGTCATCAACCCCACTTCCCAGAAAACCTAAAAATAATAGCAAAGGGGACTGCCAGTTTGGGCTGGTTGAAGTACCAGGAGCCAAGAGACAGGGTTAAATGACTTTGGCAATTCCTTTCTAGGACACAGGAGAGACTGGTGATTATACAAACAGACTTCTGAGTTAAACAGACCTGGAAACGAGACCCAGTTCTATCATTCACTAGCTGTGAAATCTTGGGCACCCTACTTAACCTCTCTCCTGAGAGTCATATGCAGACTAAATAAGATTAATGGGCACTGAGTGTTTAGCACAGAATCTGACACCATAGAATGTTCTTAGTAAATATTAGCTTCAGCATTTGGCCTTGAGTTTCATTCGTCCTTTTCTTTCAAACCCCATGTCCCTGGCATCCATAGAGATCTCTTCTCATGTAACTGCTGAACTTAAGTTTCTTTGCAACCCACCCCAAAATTGCAAGACTCCAACTCTACCCAAGTTCCACAGTCTCAACTGGTTCTCTTAGCTGGAAGTACTATTTCCAACCAAATTCTAACTGATGTGGTTTCCAATGAAACAAAGGTCATGTTTTATCATTTGATGTGACACCTGTAGGACATGATGAAGATCCTACTGCTGACAGCTTGGCTACATCTCTTCATTCTTCAAGCCTGGAATCTCATGTTCAAAGAGCTATGGTCCTTGAGCTGGAGGGAATCTTGGCATCCTTTAGCCTGGGATAAATTATGCTCTGCCACAGGTAAACCTAGTATGAGCACAGAGCACCAACATGGGCAATGGTGACTATATGGAAGTCTTACTCATGCGGTTGACTTCCTCATAGAGTCTTCAAGAAAGGGCAGAAATTGATGAGTTGGGGTGTCAGGAGGGAAGTAGTTAGAGAAAATATTCTCTAACTGAAGTTAGTTCTCTAATTAAGAAAACTTCAGGAAAGAAAAAGAAACAAATTTCAGATGGTTTTCAGTTTGGGGTAGCATCCATTTCTCAATCCATATTGAATTTCCAAAATAGAAAATGAAAGTAGATTTTGCTTTTTATCAAATATATGATTAGTTCAGGATCATGTATATTAAAATCCTAAAAATATGAGTTAGTTTGGTTTGGTTTGGTGGGTGGGTGGGGATGGGGGGGTGGGGACAGTACCAGGGATTAAACCCAGAGGTACTTAACCAGTGAGCTGCATCCCTAGCCATTCTTTATATTTTATTTAGAGACAGGGTTTTGTTGAGTTCCTTAGGGCCTCACTAAGTTGTTGAGGCTGGTTTTGAACTCAGAATCCCCTTGCCTCAGACGCCCAAGATGCTGGGATTACAGGCAGGCGCCACCAAGCCCCACAAATTTCTGAGTTTTTAAAATTACTTAATCTAAACTTTCAACCTGAACCCTCTACAGTATCTCTGATAAGTGTTCGTCTAACTTGAATACTTACAATGCCAAGGAGCATAATACTGGGAGATGCAACTCATAAGCAAATTTTACTTATTTTTGAAACATAATTAAATAAAGGAAAATGAACAAATGTGAAATATATAGTTTGATGAGTTTTGATAATATACCTGTGTATCCAATGGCTGAATCAAAATGCAGAAAATTTCATCACCCAGAAAGTTTCCCAGTTATCCATCCCTTCTCTTCTGTTTTTATTCCTGGAGATTAGACTGGCATGATCCTGGACTTCATGAAAGCGGACCACATTCCTGTGTGCCTGGATTTTTTTTTTCACTTTACATAATAATTTTGAGGTTCATCTATGTTGTATGTTTAAATAGTCTGTTCCTTTTTGTGGCTGGACAATGTCTTACTGTATGAAAATACCTCAATTTGTTTACCCATTCTCCTTTAGTGGACATTTGCATTGTTTCCATAGTCAGAATTTTAGAAATAAAGTCACAGTGAGCATTCTTATACAGATTTGTTTTGTTTCCTATAGAGAGATAATTTCATTTCTTTTGAAATTCCTGGATCATGAAGTAGAGAAACATTTATATGAAAAACATCAGTTTTCCAAACGGCTAAAGCATTTTATATTTTTCCCCAGCATTACATAAAAGATCCAGTTGCTCTGCGGCTTCTCCAACATTTGGTATTGTGAGAATTTTTAAATTTTTCCCCTCCCAGGGGGTAAACTTTGTGGTTTTAATTTGGTTCCCCTGATGACCAAAAATGCTGAGCCTTTTTTATGTGCTTGTTGGTTCTGAATGTATTATCTTTTGTGAAATGTTTGCCTTTTAAAAAATTGTCTTTTTATTATTGTTTGCAAGAGCTCTTCATATGTTCTGTTTATGAGTATCATTGCCCTATGGAAAAAATTTCTAGTTTGAAGTTAGATACCCAGGGTTTAAATCTTGACTCTGTCTGTCTCTCTCTCTCTCTCTCTCTATATATATATATATATATATATAGTGCCAAGGAGCATAATACTTATGCTCACAATATGGACACAATACATTTATTTTATTTATTTATTTTTATGTGGTGCTGAGGATCGAAGCCAGTGCCTTACATGTGTTAGGCAAATGTTCCACCACTGATCTACAACCCCAGCCCTTCTGTATGTCTTTTACAAGGAACTCAATGTCTGTGAACTTCAGCTACTTTTCGGGTAATATGAAAATCATTTCCAGCACACAGGGTTCCTTTGAGAGCTTGGAGAGCACATATAAAGCACTGAACCCTGTTCAGGTCTTGGCATATTATAGGCACTTAAAATAAAACTTAAAGGTAGTATTGCAAATGTTTAAAAGTGTTAGCCAAGCTGCCCATCCCCAAAACTTTTCTATATTAGGTTAAGTATCATCAACTTTTTCATAAAATATGATTTGCAGATATTGTTGCCATAAGTTGTATTTGACAACATTTTACAAGTTCAGTAAGACAGTCATGTATGGTAGCACACACCTGTAATCCCAGCTACTCAGGAGGCTGAGACAGAAGTATCACAAGTTCAAAGCCAATCTCAACAAGTCTTAGTAAGTCTCTGTCTCAGAATCAAAATAGAAAGGACTGGAGGTGTGGCTCAGTGGTAGAGCACCCCTGGGTTTAATCTCCAGTACCAAATAAGTAAATAAATAAATATTCAGTAAGACTTAAGTACCAACCAAACAGAGAAGAGAGGCCACTAGGCTGGATCAGTCTGGGAGGCCCTGGTGGGGCAGTAATTCGTGTTTCCCTTACCTGATCCTAGGGGAAGCCCACAGCATTCTGAGGAATGGCATATTGGCTGAGATGGTAAGGGGGTGGTGTTGCAGAAATAACTATTTAACAAAGAGTATAATAAGCATTTCAATGTTTTTAGAACCATAACACAACTATTAAAAACTTGCCTACTGATTCTCACTACTGTTTTCTTTATGATCTTGGAAGCAACCATTGACTGTTTTTCAATATTACTTTTCACTTCTAATGGGAAGAGAACTCTTCCATATGAGTGCTCAACATTGATTCTCTATCTTTCAGCATCCTTTGCAAGTAGGTGGCCCTGTGACTAAGTTTTGACCAATGGTCTGTGGGCAAAAGTGATGTATACATATGAATTTGTGCATTTCCCCTCTCACTGGATGAATTCAGAATGTGCTGGTAGAACCATTGTGGATTATACAGACAAAGGAGGCACGCTGGGATAGCAGAGCAGGGAGACAGAAGAAGCCTGAACTTCTGACAGCTTCCTGGAGCATGGCATAGATCTAGCTGATGTGTGAGAGAAAATGGACTTCTGTCTCATATAAGCCACCATCATTTTGAGTCTCTGTGATAAGCAGCTGAAGTTTTATTGCAGCTAATACACTGATCCTAAAACTTGTCTCCTGCTACCC